ACAAAGCACTTGTATGTTCAAACAGGAAACTTTATTGCCTGAACTCCAACAGTACTCCACTTTATTGCACACTCCCCCGGAACTCACGTGGCCCCTCTCCAGCACACCACACCAACCGGAACTCCCTCCACCGGAACTTCACCAACCAACGCGAACTCCCCAGGAAATCCCCAGGAGAACTCCAAAGTAGCGGGCACCCGAGGCAGACAGCAGGGGTCTATATACGATTGAATACATAGCCTGTTTCAATCCAGCATCATCTTAATGGCTAGCCTCTCAACCATTACTTCTGGCAAAATGCCAGGGGCCATTCCAACTGGGCTGTGGCTCCCAACAGTGTGGCATGTATTAGGATGCATGGGTGTGGTGGTGGGCCCTGTGTAGTCCACTGCCTTTATTTGTGTGTGTGTGTGTGTGTGTGTGTGTGTGTGTGGTGGGTACCCAGGATTGAACCGGGGGTGGGGTGGGGTGGCGGGTGGGGCTTAACCACTGAGCAACATTCCCAGTCGTTTTTTATATTTTATTTAGAGACAGGGTCTCACTGAGTCAATTAGGACCATGCTAAACTGCTGAGGCTGGCTTTAAACTCGAAATCCGGGGGTTTCTTCAAGTCTTTGTGTATTCACCATTGAATTTCAGCATTCTCCCAGTCACCCACCTTGACTAAACTTTGTGGAGAAGTATGTGAGTGCTGGGTGTGGTGGTGCATGCCTGTAATCCCAGACTCAGGAAGGTGAGGCAGGAGGATCACAAGCTCAAGGTCAACCTCAACAACTCACTGAGGTCCTAAGTAGTTTAGGGAGGTCCTATTAAAAAAAAAAAAAAAAAGTCTGAGGATTTAGCTTGTAGTAAGGTGGGCTTGGGTTTAGTACTGTCTGGTACTAAAAAAATGTGTTAGTGCTGGTACTCTCTGGTACTAAAAAAATGTGTTAGTTCTGGGTGCCTCTAAATCTGCTTTTTTAAATTTTCTTAAAATTTTTTTAGTTGTTGATAAACATTATTTATTTATATGTGGTGCTGAGAATCCAACCCAGTGCCCCACACATGCCAGGCAAGTGCACTACCGCTGAGCCACAGCCACAGCCCCTGAATCTACTATCTTTTAAACCTCAAGCCTAAGTGATGTCTTAAATAATAGCAGTAATGTTTGAGTTTTTTTTTTTTTTGTTGTTGTTGTTGTTAAAATCTTACATTAAATAAAAAATTGCTTTGTTGGGCTGGGGATATTGTTCAGTGGAAAGCAAGCACTTGCCTAGCATAAACAAGGCCTGGGTTCAACTCCCAGTACTGCATAAACAAACAAAAATTGTTTTCTACAGAAGAGTAACACTTGGCCAAAATAACACTTAGACTTCTAGTCAAGTAAAGCAATGAGCCAAAATATAACCAGACTCTGATGCCTGAGAATAACTGAGTCACTGGAGAAAAAAACCCAATGAGATTAAAAAAAAAAAAAAAAAAGCTCTTGCCTCTCATGATGTATCTTTGTGAGGGAGAGACTGGTGAGAAATTACTCCATTTTGATGGACAGTTGTGTTGGCAAAGCACTTTAATCAGCTGCACCAGGAGGGCATAAGTTATAGAACTTGTCTCATGAGGGTCATTAAGAAAATTAAATGAGTGAATGTTTTTAAAGAATTCAGAACAGTTTCTGGCATGCAGCATTTTATGAATATTTATTTGTCAAGTAAAAATAATGGGTAGAATTACAACCATATCCTGAGAAATGTGGAAATGCACAGTGCTGAGCTATGGTTTATAAAAGAGCCATTAACATTTTATCTATTTACGTCAAATCCATCCAGAGGTGTAGAATGTTCTGTCTTTAGATCTGTGGTGGAAACTGAGATACAGGGAGGTCTCACTCCCTCTTTTCTTCATTATCACCCAAAATAGATTTAATTTCCTTTTTAAAAGATCTGGTGTTGTTTGGTATATTTATTAGGGAAGATTCAAATAAGTTGCTCAGGAAACACTAGCAACCTACCATACTTTATTGAATTCACAGTTCATGAGGAAATAGACATTTTAGCATTCAAATAACTCATAAGAATAGGCATAACTATTTGGCATTTGACTTCTTCAGGACAAGGACTGTATCTAGGTCATTTCTGGTACCTGCACAGAGAATGTTCAATCAAGGATGAATAGTATAGAATGCCACTTCAAATTACTGCACCTTCAGGTTTCCCAGGATGTAGGGACTTACTTTGTTGCTTGTAATGCAGTCCTCTCTTCCTGGAAGTACTCCCATTTTTACTTAATCCTGAATCCACTGAATCCACTGTTAAATATGTATTTATTGACTATGTGGTATCTTACCATCACTATAATGTTCAAGGAGTGTCAAAGAGATTAGGAAGTTGGCTTCTACAGTGAGTAAGTGATTAGACTAGTTGATTAGTCTCCTCTTTCTCTCAATATCTGATTTCCTTTTTGAAAACAGGGACACTCTAGATACTTTTTTTGGAGACAGGATCTCGGTAAGTTGCTTATGGCCTTGCTAAATTGTGAAGGCTGGCCTCGAATTTTCAATTCTCCCACTTCAGCCTCCTGAGTTGGATGCTCCACCATACCTGGCCCAAAATCTGTGTTTTAAAGAATGCAATCTGCAAGTTAACAGTCCTACAAGCATGTATTAAGTCATAACTTCAGGCAAGCTGTGGAAACAAAGATGAAAAAGACTCACTTCCCAGCCCTAACATTTCTTACATATCTTCTAGTTTAAAAGGGAAGACAGAAACATACATTGGAGAAGATAGCGTTTTCAACAAACGGTGCTGGGAAAACTGAAAATCCATATGTAGAACAATGAAACTAAATCCCTCTCTCACCCTGTACCAAAATCAATTCAAAGTGGATCAAAGACCTAGGAAACACTGCAACTGCTAGAAGAAGCAGAGTCAACACTCCACTAGTGCAGGCACCAACTTCCTTAATACTCCCTAAAGCGCAAGAACTTAAACCCAGAATCAATAGAAGGTTTATTAAAAAGCTTCTGCACAGCAATGGAAACAATTAAGAGCATGAAAAGAGAGCATACAGAATACAAGAAAGTCTTTCCAGCAACTACTATTCCAACAAGGGGTTGATATCCAGAATATACAAAGAACTAAAAAACAAAAAACCAAACCAAAACAAACAAAAAAAACCCCACACAACAAAAAAACAAAACAAAACCCAAATAACCCAATCGAAATAGGAAAATAGACTAAACATACATTTCACAAAAGAAGAAATGCAAATGACCAACAAATATATGAAAAAATGTTCAACATACTTAGCAATCAGGGTAATACAAATCAAAGCTACAGTGAAATTTCATCTCATTCCAGTTATAATGGCAATCATTATGAATACAAATATCAAATGCTGGTGAGGATGTGGGAAGAAACACACATTCATGCATTGTTTGTGGGGCTGCAAATTAGTACAACCACTCTGTAAAGCAGTATGGAGATTCCTCAAAAGACTAGGAATGGAGTCACCACATGACACAGCTATCTACTCCTTGGTATTTACCTGAAAGAACTAAAATCAGCATACTAAAGTGATACATGCATATCAATGTTTACAGCAGCACAATTCACAATAGCTAAGTTATGGAACCAGCCTAGGTGTCTGTCAACACCTGAATGGATAAAAAAAAAAGTTTGTATATACATAATGGAGTTTTACTCAGCAAAAAAGAAGAACAGAATTATGTCATTAGCTGGTAAATGGATGGAATCAGAGAATATTATTGCTAGGTGAAATAAGGCAGACTCAGAAAGTCAAGGGTTGAATGTTTTCTCTCACACATGGAAGCAAGAAAAAAATAAGGATTTTTAAAGAAAGGGTGTGTCATGAAAATAGATGGGAGAAGAATGGCATAGAGAAAGGGGGAAGTAGGGGGATGTGAAAGGAGAGTGACTATGGAATGAAACTGACAAAATTATGCTATGTGCATGTATGAATACATTAATTCTACTTTTATATATAAATATAATACATCAATTAAAAAAAATAAGTAAATAAATTAAAGACCAACAGAGTAGAGTAAGGGGACTGGGGAAGGGAGAAGATGAGAGAAGGGGTAAACACTGGAGACTGAAATGAAGCAAACAGTGTTATATGCACTTATGAATATGTCAAAATGAACTTTACTATTATGTGTAACTCTCATGCACTAACACAAACATTTTTAAAAAACAGCATTATAAGGGCATAGACCAAAACTGTATTAAATCAGCATTTCTAATGATCTCTGTAACAGGCAGGGTAATGACATTATGGAAGTCATTCTGTTTTCTACTCAAGAGTTATCCAGAACCACTAGAAATTCCGTAGCAACAAAGGACAGGAAAGACTACACCAAGGCTGCTGGTAATCATCAGAAGCAATGTAATTCCCTTAGGAATGTGTCTCCAAGCAGTGAAAGTGCAAAGAACCTCACAGGGAATCTTCCAATCAGCTTCCATGGAAGCTACTTTGAATATTATACATACAAAATGAGTGACTGATGGTAACTTTCCAGGGAGCTGCTGTGAACTGAAGGTCTGCCATATGCCCATGCTGCTGGCTGGCTGCATACAGAGAACAATGACCTCATCTTCTTTATTGCCTTCCAAAGTTTACATGAAGGTATGTCATAGGTACATTCCAACCTGGAACCATATGTAGAAGGACATTTTGGAAATACAATTCTTATTCTTATTCCTAGGAAGGGGTGAGAGGGATGCTGAGTTGACAACATGTACTTATACAGCTTGCACAGAGGAAACTGTTGTTTTTTTCCTCTCCATTGGTTTCTCTAATTGTATATACAGTCCTTCTAATATCTTCTTTTTTTTTCTAATATCTTCTTGAATGAATAAATAACAGAATAAACTAGGAAAAAATGAATGCAACTCAGTATTGTATTCAATTTATTGTGGAATAGCCAGCTCTTTAACTGAGGGTGAATACTCAAACTTCACCCAAATTACTCATTTCTTAAAATTAGAATTTTTTTCTTAATTAAATCTGCTTATCTAAAGAAAACCTTCACACCAATCTATGTAAGACGGAAGACAGCCACAAATTTGGCATTCTCAAAGTAGCACATATGAGTACTAAAGGTAATACTGCAAACTAACTTATTTCTTTTAACTCTTCATTAAGTAATTCCAAGTAGTACAGCAAAACATTAAAATTCCCAGTGCTCATTCTAAGAATTAGGCATTCTTCTTTGATTTTTTCTTCTCTGCTTCTTCCTTTTCCTTTTCTATTTCAGTTACTTGTAACTCAATTTCTTTAGCACTAAACATCTGAAAAGAGAAAAAAAAAATTACAGCAAATTTCAATTATGCCAATGTCTAAATATTTACAACATGAAGCAATCCCATTTTCATAATCTTATATTTTGCTTATAATTTTGCATTTTATACCTTCAAGTGTACAACAAAATGGTTCAAAAGGTTTAAAAGCCACATATGTGTAATAATTATTGTAAAGATATTAAGATAAATTTAATTATCTTAATAATAAAAAAAAGAGAATCTGGAATTTGAAAAAAAAATAAGCAACCTAATGAGAAGAAATATTGTCAAAGATGTTAAGAAAACAAAGTGATTTTAGCAATTAATTTGCCACCAGATTTTGCAATATAAGGAAGTTTAAGTTCATAAAGTTTATTTATCTGGTCAAAAATTGAAGAGGGTTTAAAAATCAGGTCTCCATGACTCTGATTTCAATTCCAGAATTCTTTTTATTTCACAATAAGATATGTGGCAGAAAGTCTATATTTGTCAATAATCTGTAAAACATATTACCTGGACATATTATATTTATATATTTTAAATGTAATTTTCCATGATTTGAGTGCCTTTGTACTCTCAGCTAGAGAGTTCGCTGGCAAACTAGACTGAACAGAGTTTACCTAATGAACCCTATTCCAAATGCTATTTTAGCCAATAAGTCTTCTATCAAAATACTCTGAACAGTTTATTTTGTGGCTCAATGGTTTTAATCCATAATGGCTGGAAAAGGCATATAGATAATGTCAGATTTGCCACAAAAGATGTATGGAAATATTATCATGCTAGGGACTAAAATGTAAGCCTGACAGAGGTTCAAGGAGCTCCAGGTGAAATGTAGAAAAATAGATCAAAACCAGCAGACAGAGGCTGAGGACACAGCTCAGTGGTACAGCCTGTGCTTAGTGCACACAAGGCTCTGGGTGCAATCCCCAGCATGGCAAAAACACGAAACTGAAACAAACCCCCAAACCAGTACACAATCAGAAGAGGGTAGGAGTTTCCTTGATATAAGGAAGGATAACATTTATGTTGGAAACCTGGAGCGCCAACAATTATATAAAAGTAGTAGCTGAATGACACTGATACATTCAGGAGATCTAAAAGACAGGAAGAGTAACTGCTTTCTTAAGCAATGAATTTACAGAGGGTACATGTTCTCTAATGGCTAGGGGGCTGGCTCAGTAAGCCTTCCTTACAGAAACACAGTAAATGGTGAAGGTAGAGATCAAGTACCTCTAAGTCTTCAAAAAGAGCCCGGGACTCATAACTGCTTGCAATGAGTATGTATAAATTAGTGCATTAGTTTACAGAAGCTAATACTATACAAAACAGAAGTCATCATGGTGTCAAAGGGTATGAAAGGATATCTGACACAATGAAGATTCATAGTTTCAACATTTTTAACTTCTCAAACTATACTACTGATATTTTTTCTTCTTTGGTTAATAACATACCTTCAAAGGTTGATTTCTTCTTATTATAGCCAGTTCAATGTTTTTTCCACCAGACTGGACAACCTAATGTAGAACAAGTATATATCAGAACTACTTCAGCTGGCTCGGGGTCTAGTTCAATGGTAAAATTGTGTGCCTAACATGGGCAAGTCCCTGAGCTTGATCCCCAGCACTAAAACACATACATACACACACACACACACACACACACACACACACACACACACACATAATCATTCAGTAAATGTGTTTAGTAAATTAAAATGGATGAGGAAAAGTAGCTAGTTTCTGAATGTGATCACTTACTTCTAGCAAAGCTCTTATTGCTAATTTAATAGCTTCGTTGTCATTTGCTATTGCATCTTCTGTGTAATTCTTTTCTAGAAATTCTCGGACAGTTTTAGCACTTCGGCCTATTGCATTTGCCTTTAAAAATAAAAAAATAATAATTAATATCATTACAATATAAATGAATTTACGATTTTGAAGTTAGGATTTTGAAGTTTTTTATTTCTTAGTAAAAATTATGGTCTTGATAACTTAGTAAACATCTCACAAACTCATTTGGTTATTATATGAATAATCCATAATGGTGACATTACTTTTATTTGCAAATATACCAATGTTTTGTCCTGATAAATGCTTTATATTAGTTCAATGGCTCCTAAGTCCTTCATAAAAGTCTTTTTCAGTCATTAGAAAACACTGAAAAAGTTGGAACTCCAAAAGGTATGGAGAAGAAAGGAGGTATAACTTTTCAATAGGATGCAAAAGGAAGAGAGAAAAAAGACATCAATGTCAATGTGAAAAAGAAAACTATTAACATGAATAGAACCAAACAGCATTTTCTTAGACTAAATATGTACTTTGAATAAGGTGTACTGGTCACTTACTCTTTATTTCTTTGACTCTATAAGCAAGAAGGGCTTCTATCCCATTCCCTATTCTTTAGAAATTTCCCTCAGATGAAGGAAAGAGGTAAACTGATTTCCCTAGTTGCATGGCTATCGGTAGCAAATAGTGTGTTCTTTTAATTCAGATTAAATACCCAGATCAGCATGGATGAGGATGATGATAATTCATATTAACAGAGCACTTAAGAGCTAGAAATCATGCTGTTTTAAGTGGATTGTCTCATTTAACCATCATAAAAATGATTATGAACTCCAGTTCTTGGATGACAAAAATGGAAGCTTGGAAAGGCTAAAATAGGATTTCTGAGCCTCAGCACTATTAGTATTTTGGCCAGATAATTTGTTGTGGGCTGTCCTGTGAGTTGTAGGATATTTAGCAGTCTTTACTAATTGGATGCCAGAGGCACTCTGTTATATATATGCAATGTCTCCCAACGTATCATATGTCCCCAATGCAGTAATGTCCAGAGGTGGGGATTTTGGGAAGTGACTGGATCACAAGGGCTCTAACCCCATCAGTGGATGAATCTATTGATGGCTGGATGGTAGGTGGGATTTGGTTGAAGTAAGCAGGTCATAGTGGGGGGTGGGGGATGGAAGGATTATCTTTTCCCAGTTTCTTCCTTTCTCTGCTTTCTGGCTGCCATGAGTTGAGCAGCATCCTCTGCCATGATATTTGTCTTACCTTAAACCCAGAGCAATGCAACTAGCCAACCTCTTCTAAGTTTGTTTTTGTTTTTTTTTTGGTACCAACACAACATTCGATCCCAAGGGCACTTAACCACTGAGCCATATCCCCAGCCCTTTAAAAAAAATTTTTTTTTTTTTTTTTTTTTGAGACAGGTTTTGCTAAATTACTCTGGCCTCACTAAATTGCTGAAGCTGGCTTGAACTTGTGGTCCTCCTGCCTCAGCCTCCTGAGCTGCTGGGATTATAGGTATGCACCACAGTGCCCAGATCTTAGTTTTTCTTATCAGATATTTTGGTCAGAGGTGAAAAAGTGACTCATTCACTCCCCCACACCCCATAGAAGCTGTGACAAGCAAATGTCTTGGGACATTCTCAAATCTCTTTTTTATTTTGCTACTAGGGATTGAACCAGGTGTTTACCACTGAGCTATGTCCCCAGTGTTTTTTATTTTTTGAGACAGGGTCTTGCTAAATTTCTGAGGCTGGCCTCAAACTTGAGGTCCTCATGCTTCAGCTTCCTGAGTAGCTGGGATTTTAGGTGTATGTCACCTCACCTGGCTCAAGTAGCTTTTAAACAATCCCTGTTAACTATTGGCTCCAGTAATCTTGCCCTAAATCACATAGAACTGGGTTTTGAAACCAAGTGGTCTGAATCAACAAGTCAAGCATTTAACTCTATACATGTCTTGCCTTACGCCCCTTTGTTATGATGATCTATAGAGGGGAAAGAATCAGCAGAAAGCCCCATCATTTTACTGGTGTTAAATGGGGGAATGTCTCAGTATAATTCTTACAACAGCTCTACTGTGATCACAGGAAAGGAATATCAAAGCAGATTTTAGGAAGTGGTCATGAAAATATATCTTTTTACTACATGAGATTACACTGCTCTGGCTAGTAGAAGATTTTTCTAGTTCACTTTTTTTCTACATTATTATATTTCAGAGGATTAAAATAAGCAGCTGTAAATTTTTACATAAAATTTTGCAGCCCTGAAACTTTTCTAAGCTCACAGAGAAAGCCTGTGATTTTGGATTGTACTTGCTTCTAGGTCTTTCTATTTATTTTTGATTCTTGCAGTTCTGGGGCTTGAACCCAGGGGTGCTCTACCACTGATATATGACCCCAGTCCTTTTCATTTTTTATTTTGAGACAGGGTATTTCTAGTTTGTGATTCTCCTGCCTCAGCACTGAGTCGCTGCTGTTGCAGCTGTGTGCTCTGCACCCAGGTGCTTATAGTATTTTGTTGTTTTGGTTTTTTTTGCAGCTGGTTGCTGCCCAGCAAGGAGGCACTTTAATAGTGGTTTATCCAAAAATATCACTGGGGGCTGGGGATGTGGCTCAGCGGTAGAGCGCTCGCCTAACACATGTGAGGTGCTGGGTTCAATTCTCAGCACCAAATAAAAATAAAGGCATTGTGTCCAACTACAACCAAAAAAATATATATATTTTTTAAAAATCACTGGGTCCTTAAGGTCACCCTGTAATTCCTGGTGGCTTTTTTGTCTACCTTCTCCAAATGCTGATGTTAAAATTCTTTAACACTTAACAGGGCAGAGAAGCTTACATCTATAATCTAAACTACTTAGGAGGCTGAGACAGGAAGACTGCAAAGTTGATGGCCAGCCTGGGTAACTTAGTGAGATTTGGCCTCAAAATAAAATATAAAAAATACTAGGGATGTATCTCAGTGGTAGATGCTTCTGGGTTCAATCCCTAGTACTACGTAACAACAATAACAAAACGAACTTTAACTCTTACCTTCCAGACTGGTTTCCTAAGATCTAGCCTGTTTCTAACACTCATATCCTCTGCCCCCATCACCTACTCTAGACTATTTCAACAAAGGCTCTGATAGTTTTGCAACGTTTTTCCTTCCTATCTGCATAGCACATGATTTTTTTAATCAAATACTAACAGTGTCAAAAAAATTTTTTTTTGAGAAGAGAGAGAGAGAGAGAGAGAATTTTTGATATTTATTTTTCAGTTTTTGGCGGACACAACATCTTTGTTTGAATGTGGTGCTGAGGATCAAACCCGGGGCGCACACATGCCAGGCGAGCATGCTACCACTTGAGCCACATCCCCAGCCCAACAGTGTCAAATTTAATATTCATTTTTCCTTTGTGACAGACCTCTAGATAATGTGACTGCAGAAAAATGTCATTGTCTAGTGTGTGCTAATGAATAGGTAAAAAGTACAAGTATAATGGAGCTTCTGGAAATCTTTGCTGCTTGGAATTCAGACAGGTTGGCTGGAGGTCTAGCAGCCACACTGAGGGCATGGGGAAAAGAGTTTAAAAAAAAAAAAAAAAGAGCAAAATGCCAGCATCTTCAAACTTCTTATTATGTGAGAAAAATCAACCCTTATGTGTTAAGTGTTGTCAGGTCTTTGTTGTTAGTTAATACCTCATTAGGGGCTGGGGTTGTGGCTCAGCGGTAGAGCACTTGCTTAGCATGTGCGAGGCCCTGGGTTCAATCCTCAACACTACATAAAAATAAATTAAAAAAAGGGTATGGTGTCCAACTACAACTAAAAAATAAATATTAACAAAATTTTTTAAAAATAAATACCTCATTAATAACCCACTGAGCCTGATCCTGTGACATACTACCTCAAACTCCTTCAGAAATAAAAACGTTTTTCCCTCCCCCCCACCCTCTCCTCCTCC